GATGCACGGGCGGAGCGCAGCTTTTACTTTGACGGCATTGTTGTTGTAGGGGCACTATTGGATTGTTGATATTTTTCTCCCTTCTAATGGTCAGTATATGGAAGAGGTTCCTTTTCTTATCCATCCGCGTGTTATGCGATTTATTTTATAGGGAAACCGAGGTTCCGCTGGATCAACTGGTCAACCTGGATCTCAGGGGCCCCCTGTAAGTGGTCGCTTTTGTTTGTGTTACGAATGCGCGTTGCGTGAAAAGCAGTTTTGCGACGAAATCCTTACGAGATTAGACCAAGAATAGGTACGATGGAGGCCATAGCAGCACGAACTTGTGATGGACCGGAGTAGCACTTGGAGAACAAAGAGATTTTCTTGTTTTGTAAAACTTCCATATATTCACAACCGTTTAAAACTAAATTAGGAACTAACAGGTAGAATTTTTTTCAGTAAAAGTTTTTCTTATTCAAATAGCAAACAGATAGCTTCAGTTAATACTAACGTGCATTTTATTAATGATATACTAACAATAGTAAACCTCACAAAAACATACTCAACAGAGGTTTATGAGGTGAGGGAGAGGTGAACCTTTCCTGAACGATTTTTGGAGAAGTGCTATTTAACAGTACTTGGTTTACTGCTTACGATACATCTCTTAAAATTTCCTCTTTTTCTTCCAGGGACCAGTTGGACCCTCAGGAATGTCGGGAAAACCAGGACTTTCCGGTGTTAAGGTAAAATTTCTACGTCTTTGCCTTACAGCAGCGAAAAGCTAAGATTGAGAGGAATTTTTGATCGTGGTATTAAGAAATACAGTTTTTCTCATGCCTTCTTCACCTGGTAAGTTCTATTGTCTCTACGCGTGTCGCACGTGATGTTATGGCTGGTTGACTAGGTTTATTTGTGTTTCCTAGTTTTACGGAGTGTTCAAATTTTATCTGTTTTCGCCTAGGACGCACTTCGGCCAGTCGTTTGGAGTTGCAGATTTTGAAAGCTTTAGTGTTAGCTAAAATGCTTTATGCAATACATTGAATTAATTTCTTTATTTTTTGTTTTTGTTTTCTTTTGAGTCCAAGACTGGAAATGTTTTGTTTCTCTTTCCCAACTGAACTACTTTTTTTTATGTTTTTGGAAAAGAACTGATTAGACAAACCAAGTCCAGAGACACTAGGTGGTTGAAAATTTGAATATTTCTTTTTTTTTTTTTCCTCCGAGCAACCAAGCCTTTTTTAAGGAGAAAAAAAAGACGATTGGAATTGGAACATTTTATGCAGATGTTCTTTTTGGGTTGGATTTCCTGAATAAGTGATTTTGAGCCAAAAGAAAAAGGATTCGCGAGTACATCACACTGCGAAGAACCAATCAGATTACCAAGATCACCAGTGTTTTCAAAGTGGGTGTGGTTAATTATTATTTGATTGATGTGACAGGGTGCGGTTGGACCTCTCGGAAGAAGCGGTTCGCCTGGGCTACCTGGACAACCGGTAATGCACAAGCTGATTTGTAGTTTTCTCTTTTCTGTCGTTTCTTTTTGTTTCCAACTAAAGAAGGCGATTTATCATTTCGTTGCATCTCTTATTAGTATAAGAATGCCACAAATGATACGCGGTTGTAGAAAGCTTGATTTTTCCGCTTCAAATATTAGTAATTTTGATCACGGCGTCTGTGGTCATGTGGCGTGTGTTCTGTTTCCCTCTTTCGCTAAATATAAAACATGTAGCTATCTATTAATTTGCAAGTTATATTTATACTAAGGGGTCCAGCTACGGCTGGTTTGAAGGGAGGCTTGTTTTCATTAACTAGTGAAATATTTCCACAATATTTATAACAAATGGAGTTATTAAAAAAAATTAAAAAGTTTGATCAATAAAGATCATCGTTTAATTTCCTGGCGATCCTCCCTATTCTAATTAGAGAAAAGAGAGAACTAATTTAGATTTTTGGTTGAAGTTATGAAGTGATGTTTCGTCGCTTTAATTTAATGGTGAGGTATTCAACTCCACTTTATATCGTAAAAATCTTAATTGCCCCTTAAAATTCTTAAAAGAATTTTAAGTAAGGGCACGATCATATTCACAGGTGTTGTAGGTGTGGAATTTGCGTGAATAAGAAAAATCCTAAAATCATGGTCAGTGTTACTTCTTAACCGTCTCTCTTTTACCTTTAGGGGTTGCCTGGTCGAGATGGAGCTCCCGGAGCCTCTGGTGGAGACGGGCGTGTAGTAAGTTTTCTGATTTGAACCTTAAGTGTAAATCTTAAAGATTGACAGAAGTCTGTTGCTAGTTCCCAAGGAGCGGTGGTGGTGGTGGTAGTTGTTGTAAACTTGTAAATTTGCTATTTGTTTCTCTTTGAGCTTCAATACTCAACATAGGTCAATCTGTACAAAAAGGTTAAAAATGACAACTGTTGGAACTTTATAGCCAAAAGCAACCCTACATTCTTCTCGAGTGTCGCTAAAAGTCCCGGAAACGTTTTAAAATAGCTGCATTAATTTAATTGTCTGCGTTAGTGTGAGCTCGATTTATCAGAGCGTGAGCATCAGAGGGAGCTTTCTCTTGTGAGCTTTCTCTTGTGAGTCTGCTTTATTGTGCGCACGCTACCTACTTATACAGTCTTTAATAGAATTCTTTTGTATATTTATTCATTAGGGAAATATTGGACCAACAGGACCCGTCGGACCTAAGGGCGGAGTTGGGCGTGAGGTGGGTACATTGACCGTTGTAAACTAAATCGTGGAAAGCTTTGGAAATTTGAGCGTGGATCTTGGAACATTTATTTATTGATTAATAAATAATTAACGATTTACATTTTAGATAACTTTACAACCATTGCAGTGGTAGTCTAGAAAAACAAATGTGTACTACTGATGTTTATCACCGTAGAATGTGCTCATTCAAAAATTGTCATCAACGTTTTGATGGCCTAAGAAGAAGGGTTTGCATGGTTAATTTTTCCTGAAATTGAATTTCGGGATCGTAACAACTTTTGATAAACAATATGGAGGGAAATAACTGTTGCCTCGTTTCAAGTCAAAGGCTTTTAAATACTTTTTTAGATTTCAAAGGTGCGAAAGAGCTAAAGAGGGTTTTTATTGACATAAATATAAAAGAAGAGTATGTGAAATTTGTGAGCATTTTGGGGCAACGTGAAAAGGCCCTAAATGCTGAAGTAACTTATGCTATTTTTTACGTTTAGGGTCCTCCAGGCCCACCCGGTCGCACCGGGGCTGAGGGTGAAATGGGTGAAGGGGTAAGATTTGCAAAAAATGTGTTTGTAAAAATGTACTATAAAGGTACGAAAAAGTTCTCTTTGTGAGGTTTAATTCTTCTCTTTACCAGCAACAAAATTTGCTTAGTTGTTGTTATCAGAAGTAATTGATCCCTTCCCAACAGAAAAACTTCAAAGCTGCTCATGGTTTTTACCACTGTGTTGTTTTCACGAAAACGTACCTGTCATGTTGACGAGCTGTTTCGCTTTTCCCGCGGCTAAAATAATGCAGCGTTGCGCGTGCTTATTGTTTTACTGTCTCGAAAAACTCGATTTCGCAATTGTGCTTGTTGTGGAATTCAGATATCTCTCAGGAATTGCTCACGCACCGTTCTTTTCTTGCAGGGTGCTCCAGGTGTTCCAGGATTTGCCGGAAATTCTGGAGAAAGCGGTACACTGGTAAATATTTACTATACTGAATGAATGATTTTGCAAGGCAATCGGAAAAGGTTTAGTAATCTTCTATCGAGTTTGTCCGCATTCCTCCGAGTGTCGTGACACCAAAACGACGGCATCGAAAGTTCCAAGCGGAAAAATGGAAGTATGACAAAGAGGGAATCAGAAATTAAATTAAACACACGCAAACTGCCTCGGAGGTAGGAAAATGCGAAGGATTAAGCCGTTAAAAGTACTAAACATCTTCGTATCTTACAGGTTGAAGAGGTAGCACAAGTTTTAACTGCCTCTTACAGAATGCAGTAGAGCAAAACCACTTTCCCTTTTAGATTACTTTCGACACTGAATTGAAAAATCATCTTTGAGTGAGAGCAAGCATAACCAAGCAAAACAGATAGAATTTTATATTGTTCTTCCTGCTGAACAATTATAATTTTCCATAGGGTTACCCTGGTCCTCACGGAAGACCTGGCCAAGACGGAGCCAAAGGCCTACCAGTAGGTACCCTGCAATGTGTTTCAAGCCGTCACTGAGGCTTGTCAATGTCAAACTAGATAAAATAGATAAGACTCCTATCAATTTAGCAAGCCTACCTCCCTCTTAGGTGCGAAGTATCAAGTTTCTATGACGCTCTCCTCTGTCGTTTCAGTTTTAAATAGACTTATATTCTTATATTGTTACACTTTCTTTGGTCTCATAGTTGAAAAAGAATTGTAGTTAACTAGATTTATCCTATGGAAAACTCATGTTACCCACGTGAAGTCTTTCCTGCTAGTAATGTGCTGTTGTTGTTGTCTTTTTTTTGTTCACGAATTGTGATAATTGTTTTTGCTATACGTCAGGGTGAAAATGGGTTTGACGGAACTCCGGGAACTCCTGGGGAAAATGGAGGAGAGGTAAGAATAAAATAATACGAGGAAAGAGAGAAAGGCTTCTTACTTTTAATTGCTCTGATATGAAATTCACAGCGACGATTTTAGTTGATTCTTTTGCTGTTTGGTGTGATACAGTCGAAATTTCTAGAGAGATCACCTCCAGCAAAAGATCGCTTTCACCATCTTACAGCCCGCGCACGAAAGGTTAACCGAAGAGCGCGCCCGCCTTTTCTCCCGCTTATATATAGGATTGAATGCAGAGAAATGATGTGGTGCTTGCTCCGTATAACTTTTTAAATTTTTTTTTTTATTATTCCACCGTTGCCCATTTTATTTGGGTATTGGACGCACAAAATATGCCCCAGTATTGCACTGTAGAACTGGACAAAAATACGGACGGAGAAAACGGAGCAACTGAATGGTGCACTAGACGATCCAAACTTTGAATTTTTTATTTTATTTTAGGCTTCTCTTTTCAAGAAAGGATCTTAAAAGTCCACAATATTTTTTTTGTTGTCTACTTCTTTTGCGCATCGTGCATCTTTTGCGATCGATATGACGTCCCGGCTCTAGGATGTATTTCGAAAACTAAAAGCTTAAATACTGGTGGACATAATATAAATGGAATTATAAATCCCTTCTTCGATGGTTTGACATTTAAAACAAGCGGACATTTTGCTTATTGCCTGCAGTTTTACACAACTCGTAAAATATCCGCGTATTCCATGTTCAACCATAGATTAAGGAGTATGTATTTGACTAATTTTGTGTCTTGAGGGAGCTTTTTTCTTTTGCTTATTTCTCGATGACTGGTATTCTCTCTTGGTTGTGTTTCTGACCTGTTTGTGTTTGTATACGTTGTCAGGGCGACCAGGGTGAGAGAGGGCCACCAGGCCCCAACGGAGTCGCTGGAACTAGTGGACCGCCCGGACCAACTGGTGAAAAAGGAGAAGAGGGCCCGGAAGGGGAACCAGTGAGTAAAAACAAAACAACCCCAACCCCTCTATCTCTGGAGAGATACTTACTAGAAGCTCCGGTAATAGGACGGGTCATATCGGAAAGTTCCACAACCAATGACAATTAGGCAGGAAACATTATTAGCTAATGAGATTTTACTACTTCCGAGTGCGTAGCAATCAAAATTAAGGAAGTAACTTGTGTGAGAAGGTTCGTCTGCTTCAGCTTCAGTGTCAGAATCAAAAAACCGTAACTCCTCGAATAAGTGCCCGAGTGCTTTTTTAAAATTTCGACTAAAGGGGTGAGGAGAGGGGCGCTTATTTGAAATATATTTCACATAAAAATCGAGAGAGAATGACCTACTAGGTGTTTGAATTTTGACAAGACAGGCTCATGCACATCGTCAGTCTTCTCGCTCTACTCACTCTATAGTACGACATAGATTTTGAAAAGCTTAGCCAATCAGATTGCAACATTTGCGAAAGAACGCCAGCAGATTTGTACCAATTTATAAAAGAATTTTCTTGCCGCATAAAAGAGGATAATCCAGTTCCTAATTTCATTTCATCCTGATGCTGCACGGTGGTACTAATTTGCATTTCCTGCCAGATTATTTCCTGACTTATATCCTACTCAGACCTTTTAACTTTTCTTATTTATTATTTTCCTTCAGGGCGACAAAGGTGTGAACGGAGATTTTGGTAAAGTTGGGGAACGAGGCCCAGATGTAAGAATTATCGACATCTTGTTTCTCTGTACGATACCATATCCATATCAACTGCACAATTATTTGAGAGTAGACACTCACCGGGTTGAAAAGGGGATCTGAAATGGTCTGAAGTCAAAACTGGCTTACGCTATTTGAATCTCGCCCGAACTGACTTGTCAATTTTCAAGACTTTTAACACTCGACTTCCAGACAACTCCCTCTAGATTCCGATGACGACTTCCGCTCGGGTTGTCGTTACGAGTCTTCTCCCTCACCTGGCCAATCAAAAATGGTCAGCGACACCAACAACAATGAAGACTTAAAAGTCATAGAATATGATGATTATCATAAGAAATAATAACATTGTTTGTTGGTTTGTTTGTTTACATCCAGGGTGGGGAAGGTGAACCGGGAGACCCAGGAGACCCAGGAATATCAGGAGAAGGGGTAATTTTTTTTATTGTTTTGTTTGTTTTTTTTTCCTTTTCTTTATTTATTGTTATTTCCCTGACATCTCACTTGCTGTCATCTTTGCCTTTGTCATGGCAATTTCTATTTCCATTTGCATTGCCAATACAATTGTCATTGCTATTGCCATTGCCACTACCATCGCTAATGCAATTGCTATTGCTATTGCCATTGCCAATTTCCATTTTCATTTCCATTGCCACTACAACTGCCATTGCCATTACCATTGCCATTACCATTACCATTACCAATGCAATAGGCCATTTTTGATGTATTAAAATTCTAACTTGGCTCCGAAGCTATGGGAAATAAAACGAAAGATATTCATTATTCATCCCTCAACCTCGTTGTGGTTTCTTTTGTATTATTCCCCCAAGCCTTGGAGCCGAGTTTGAACTTTGATATATCGAAAATGGCCCATTGCCATTGCCACTACCATTACCAGTGCAATTGCGATTGCCATTGCCAAAACCAATAACATTATTGTCACTCTCACTGCCCTTGACATAAACATTTTCATTGCCGTTACTATTGTCAATGCAATTGCCTTTGCCGTTGTCAGTGTAATTTCTTTTTTTTGATTGTCATTGTGATTGCTGATCACTTTAAACGTCACTCTTACAGGGAGATCCTGGATATACTGGAAAGCCTGGAAATATGGGACGCATGGGCCAGGAAGTAAGCATAGGAATAATTCCTTACATAAAGA